TGTCGAAATTAAGAGCGCCAAACCGGTCTAGTTGACTTTGGAAATACAGTCTGGGGCAAATACGTTTAAATAAAATATACGGAGGGTACCGCTTAAATTCCTGTCCCGATATTGAAGGATGGCTATAGAATTTCAATGCATTTCCTACATACGTCTAGCCTTGTGTTGTAGGAGGTTTGACTAAACATGGATGAACTTATGTCCTGAACTATTCAGACTCGATTTTCTGTTTTCTGTCCTTCAATACTGGGACGTAAATCCTCTCATTGCTCTTATGCGGAGGTCGTCGTATATTTTAATTTAAACGTATTTGGTCTCGGGTATAACCTCCCAATGGTGGACACCTGCGGTGAATCCTGTAGTGTCCGGTATATGGAGGTGTGTACTATTTAGAGGATGTGTCAGGAAAGCGTTAAAAAATATTTTATTTAAAATTTAACCCATTATACAGGGTGAGTCTTAAATGAGTGCAAATATTTTCAGTGGTGGTATATTTCGACCCCAGGAACACGTCTATGAGGTTTTTTTCGCAAAAAAAATGATGTTGAAAATCGTGCATTTTCTTTTAAATTTCCCCGTATATTTTTCGAAAACTTTTTAGAACTGCCTGTTCACCGCAAATTTTCCCCACGGTATAATTTCTTAATCTCTGATATTACCATAGTTACGGCTTTACTTTATGGTTACGGCACTAAAAGGGATGCAAATACAGAAAAAATCCGGTGGCTCTCAAAATTTTTTCAAAAAAAAATCAATTTCTTTTTCAATTTTCAAACTTAAATAACTCGGTTTTTGAAAATTTTCTTTTATCGAGACCTACCAGCTCTGAAAATATTTGCAATTATTTAAGACTCACCCTGTATATATACAGGGTGGCGCACCTCATTCGCCTCGGTTGATTATACAAAAACGGAAAGATGTAGAAACAAAATATTTTATGTTTACTTTTATTTAATTTACCTACAGTTGTTTAATAAATAATATTTACTAAATATTTGTATATTATTCTATCAAGAAAAACGAAGAAGTAGTTCTTTGAATTATTTTACGATGACTTGTAGATATATGGATTTTCTATAAAATAGCCAATTACGGCAAATTCATTTTATTCACTTCCAACGACAGGTTTCTGCCTAATCTAATAAGTTTTTTATAAACCACATTAAAATGCGAAATAGGACAATAAGTTTTTCAAAGAAACGCTTATCAGGAATATTCCTATTTGGATATCTTTGAGCATAAACCCTTGAGGAATTTTCCTCACAAAATAATATCACTAGTAACATATGTATCTATTCGTTCCGCCAGCAGATACTATATTGCTTTATTTTTCTTGATAAAATAATGAAATGAATACTTAGTTATTAAACTATTGTAGGCAAATTTAAGTAAACTGTTATAAATTATAAATAATAATGTCCATAAACTAATGTCGACTTTGAAAATAGTTACTAATTGTCATGAACTGAAAATTGCCATGGCGATACCAGCCATCTTGATTGCAATTTTATTTAAAAATCGCCTTTTATTCAAAATCTGAGCTAGATAGGTATAGGAAACGTTAATATAGTTCGAAAGAGCATTTGAATCTGCTTCAATTTATCTAAAAAATACAGGGCGTTGTATTTGAAATAACGAAGTGTTTTTATAAAATATATCCTTAAAATAGATCAGCAACTTTTGATAGCCCTGTATAAATTTAAGAAACCAATACCATTTTTCAGTAAAGTTTATTTCTCTACCTTTAAACTCAGCATAAGAATTAATTCTGAAAAGTAATGTACAGGGTCTAAATAAGTCTATTCTATTGTAGCATGCAAATTTAAATATGTTTAAATATCTCAAAAATTAAAGATTTTAAACATATTTAACCCTTATAATAAATGCCTTTTTTTGGGCCCAAGAATTCAAAAATGAAATAAAATACCGGGTGTTCCATAAGAAAAAATATAAATTTGGTATGGATCTTAGTTCTGAAACACCCTGTATATTTCAAAATAATTTTAAATTGTGCACATTGTCTCCCCACATATACACATAAAATATTTTGTTTCTACATCTTTCCGTTTTCGTATAATCAACCGAGGCGAATAAGGTGCGCCACCCTGTATATACCGTGTGGTGCATCGGAACGCGGGACATAGAAAATCCCATGTAAATTTTGAAAAGGTCAAATATTATCTCCCCAGATGATTTTATGAAAAAATAGAATTTCGTTTTATTTGGCATAGGCATCTAAAAGTTATTTGCAAAAATCTACCCTCAAATGACTAAAGATTTGTAATACGGCACAGAGGCCCAGAGAAAGCTACCTATTAAAATACCAGCAAAAATATGATTTTGTTATTGTCAAATTCAGTGTCACATTTTTTTCTGTTTACAAGAATTTCTGTGGTTTGAAAAAGGTGGTTAATTTTTTTCTGAATTTTAATGATCATCTACAAAAGAATTAGTTGAACTGAGAATAGTATTCGTGGTGTATAACTTGTTTGCTGTTCTTTATTCGATCACTGGCAGGTCTCGCTCACACCACATACATCCACAATAATTCAAGGGATAATCAAAATATTTGTAACACAAGGAACTTTATTAAACTATACTGAGATTAATAAAATGTTTACCTAATTCCCCATTCACAGCCAAACAATACCCCAAATGATTGTGAAATTCACGCCTCGCAATACAAAACTGTAAAGGTAGTGATGTAAAATTTCCAGAAATATATTTTCGGAAATATTTCCTGAAACATTAGAAATATATGGAAATATTGGAAATATATGAAATATTTTCAAAAATAAGAAAAACTGAAATATTTATTTATAAAAATCATAACAAAACATCGCAAAACACAAAATGAGTTATTCTTCAAATTAAAAAATAAATTAAGGTTAAATTTGTACAAAAAAAATATTTTTGACACACTAGTCGAGCAAGAAGCATCTTCATCGCTGTCATCAGCATCACACTCAATAACATCTTGCCAGTCTACTTCCTCAAAATCTTCAATAGTATCGAAAATAAAAATTGATCTATTGCCGTTTCCTATTTTCTTCAGCAAGTTTTCATTGTGGGATACATAGAGCAGCTTAGCGGCTCTATCATTAGTAAGCCTGTTTCTCTTTTTTGAATGAATATGATTATAAACGCTAAAACTGCGTTCCATGGCAGCCGAAGATGCTGGCATCGTGATAATGAAGATGAAGAACACAGTCCTTTCCAACAGGAGACTGGGTTATCAAAACTACTTTTCCCTATGAAGTTATTTCCAAACAACTTGCCACTTCTACAACGGTAATCTGCTATTTCATCTATTATTTCTTGCTCCTTTATATTGAGTTTATTTTTTGATATATTAAGTATGCATTCTATGACAGAAAGAATTTGGGTTTCATCAAGTTCAGAATCTTGTAATTTTGGATTTAGTAATTCTGCAGCATAATGAATGGGTGACAAGATTGAAGTATTTTTAAAAATATTTCCAATATTTCCATTTACAACACTATGTAAAGGGGAGAATTTTTAGCATTCCATGGAGTTGTCGTTTTTAGTCCATCTAAATTTCTGTATTTATGCCCATAAAGACGGTTTCTGAGTGTGCTTCACAGGAAGAAGTATTTCGGCGAAAGATACTGTGGTCTTTTCTCTTTTCCTATCGAATCTCCAATAGACGGGAGTCAATGTTTTTCTTTTCTTCAACATGAAGAATATTCAAGTCATTGTTGTTTTTTTCCTGTTCAATTATTTTTGTCTTCACACTTCCATGTGCTTAATACCTTAGTGCCTTTAGTTTCAAACCTCTAGTGTATTCTTTAAACTGTTGATTTATTCGGTATAGGCTTTCCGGAGACTGAGCTGCGAACATAAATATATCACACAGCGAGAATACTATTCCTAGCAAAATGCCGTTTAACCATCGTAACTTTTTCAGAAGTTGCGAAATTCATAATTATTTTATACGAAATTACTCTTTTTGGTATACCTTCAAATTTTTGTAAACAAAATTTGATATCGAATTTGACAATGACACAATCACATTTTTGTTGGTACATATTTTAATTGTAGCTTTCTCTGGGCCGTATTATAAATTTTACTAATTTGAAGGAAGATTTTTGCAAATAACTTTTAAATGACTATTTTAAATGAAACGAAATTCTACACAAAAGTTCAACTTTAACACCTCTTCAAAAAAGTCTAATACAATTTTTGCATAAAATCATCTGGGGAGATAATATTTGACTTTTCAAGAATAACATGGAATTTCCTATGTCCCGTGTTCCGATGCACCACACGGTATGTTATGTACATTAGTTAATATTAAAGTAAAACATACATGGTTTTTATAACATATAAAGCAGAAGAACCTAAACTAAAAAATATGGAATTATTACGTATTTTTTATTATTTTTATAATATATTTTGCATCGAATAAGTAAGTATACGCTATGAATTGTAAAATTACTTTAAACAATCATTAAACTTAACTTTTTTTATACAGCTTTATGGTACTGCGCACGTGAAAATGATTTCATTATTAGGTGCTTATTTTATTTGACTTTACGAACGTTCACAAATAAGAATTCGCTTTTTCTTATTTTATTTGTCAGTATGAACCCATCATAAAACAAATTCTGTAGAGGCTTTAGGATTATTTGTATGTCACTTGGTATATCATAAGGCACGGTAAAAATGCAATTAGTGTATTTTGCATATTTTGCTCGTTTTGGAAGAAAATGTACATTTTTTCAATGATTTTCCCGTTTTGCCGACGCCAGGCTGTCCATGTTCACTATATGGAGGGTCCGTTATTTTAGAGGTGTACATATTAAAAATTAACGAAAATTGTATTGTAAAATCGTCCGATACTAGAGTTGTCCGAAAATAGAGGTTTTACGGTACTATTCTACATAAATTGTGTTTTTTTTTAATTTTGAATATTAAAGATTTGCCATTATTTACTTGCAATAAAGATTTAGGTACTGATTTTCTTAATTTTTTTTCAGGCCCTAGCCGTCGCGTAACCGCCCCCAGCACGCTGCCCGTCACCCTGGAGGACCCCGCCGCGCCCTGGAAGGGTGCGCCGCCTGGGCCCGAGCCGCAGGGCTTCGCGGGGGGCCCGGGCGCCTTCGGTTCAGGTCCGCCGGCCGGCTTCCAGGGCCCCCAGCCGCCCTTCCAGCAGGGTCCGCCGGCGGGCGCGGGCTCGCCGGCCGCGGCCAGCGCGCCGCCCTATCAGGGGGGTGGCGGTCCCCCGCCAGGCGCTTCCACGCCGCAGTACACCGCGTCGCCGGCGCCCTCGGGCAGCTCGACGCCGGGGCCGACCGGACCAGGACCCCAGAATGCGGGAGGTGAGAATTAAAAATACTTGAAAATACTTAGGAAACTCTTTAACAGTAATTAGTGATGTCAGGAATATTCGCATATTTTTTGATATTCGTATATTCGAATAAACAAAATTTTTAGGAATATTTTGAGTAGAACCTTCGAATAAACATATTAAATGAAACTACGAAATATAAATTTCTCAATAATTTTTATTAAATATTTTACTATCTTAAAGCCCTATCTAGAAATAATATTTTACCATGCTTTTTACCTTATACATCTTACCTGTCCAGTCAAAACATATATCAAAACAAATACAACACTGTTATTGTGTCTTAGTGTTACTTGTGTGTGTTACTTGTTATACATGCTCGTTTGTGCTCATAGATGTCCTAATAATGAACGTTTTCCCTTAATGATTCTGAACGTTCCCTCGTTACGAATGGGGACTAGAAATAGGCAAATGCAAGACCAAGACTTCTTTGGTCTTGGTGATGCTGGTTTTGCAGGATCCAGTCTTGGTCTTGGTCTTGCTGAAAGACTCTTCCCAAGTAGCATTTTTGGACACATTTTAGGTAACATATTAGAAACGTTCTGAAGAAGAGAAATCGTGTCTGTTTATTGACCCAAAATGGAAACGGTATGTTACAAATAGGAAATATTTTCTTAACCTATATATTTTATATGGCTTTATCACATGTGTTTCCAATGTGGTGGCACTAGCCGTTTTCTGAAATGTTTCGAAAAAGAATCGACAATAAATGGAGACCTTGTTTCCAAAATGTTTCGATTTAGCGCTATCTATGTAGAAATATCTAAAAACTAGTCACCTGTCAACAACGCCAATTAAAACTTCTGGTCAAAATATTTAAAACATTTTTATTTACTTATATCATAATAAAAAAAACGTATTCCATTGTGGAAAAAAGAGAAAAAAACGTTTGCTGGTAACATTTTTCTTCGGTCTCCTGTTGGGTATGGGTAGTGGCTGTTATTACATTTATTGCTAAAACAAATAATCTCTTTAATGCGTATAAATTATTATAAAATCGCATAAGAAAAATATCTGTATTTGTACTCACCATATGTCCTTACTTGAGCTTTTTTTAATAATTATAGTACTATAAAAACTTAAAGAATACTTAAATGCAAAAACTGCAGAACAAAATCCAATCAATAAAGTAAGGTTATGCTCTCATATTTGACAAATATCAAATAAATTATGGAAACTTTTCAGGCACAAAATGAGTACGAAATATTTGTAAATGTGAGCCACATCTGTTTCTTAAAAGTTTCGAAAAATTTGTGACACTGAGATAGATCTTTATTGTTATAGCTTATGTAGCGAAACCATATTTTGGTAAAATGTTTTGAAACAAAAAGCGATTTATGTATGTTACGAAACATATGTATCAAAAATGTGACGAAACTGTTTCGCAATATTTCTTAGCAGAGATTTTGTGTCGATTTTGTGTCTAAAAATGCTACTTGGGTTTGCAGGTCTTGCATTTTTAATAGATTTTTAGGCGGAGGAGGCATTTTCTACAAAGAACATCTTTATATAAATAGTATTTTTAGTAATTTAATGGAAATAAAACATTAAAAAGGAAGAAATTATTAGAAGAATAATAATTTGTCTGACGAAAATTTATATTTACAGCATTTCTGTCTTTAAAATTGTATGCAATAGTCGACAAAACACTATTTGTAAGAAATTATAAAAATAATTTTTAACAAATAAATAATTTTATATGTATTATAAACGTGAAAAAAAAAATTACAGAACGCAAGACCGCAAGAGTCTTGCTCTTGCGGAAGCCTTACAGTGGTCGGTCTTGATCTTTGTCTTGGAGATCAGATCAAAACAAGACCAAGACTAGTCTCGCTCATCCCTAATAGGGACGTTCTCTCTTCTATTTACAACACAGTTACGATGAGCAAAACTGCGATTCTCCAACCGCAATTGAAATTGCGATTGCGATTTTTAAATCGCCGCAACTGTAACCTGCGACTGAGATTTTAATATTTACCAAACCAAATTATTCGTAAAAAATGCTTTTTTTCTAAATATGCCAATAAGCCACCTTCGTTCCATTTGAAAAAATTGAGATATGATTAAAAATACGATTTAGGCCACTTTTAACTGGCTAGACAAGACGCGAAGAACAATAGACGATCAAATTTATTATTTTCCAAGGCATCTTAATTGATTAAAATTAGTGTTTTCAACACAGCCATAACATTCTAAAATGATTAATTATTTATCTATTAATTATAGATTGAAATTTAAAATACGATTTTTCAAGCGAAAATGCCAAAAGTTGCCATATAATATGCTATTATTATTCTATTCAGAGTATCATTTTCTATCGAATAAAGTAAAAAAATACCGAGGGTGCCTTAAAATGTGAAATGTAGTCATTTTCGGTGAAACGGGAAGTGGCCGAAAATAATCAAATACGTCAATCAATTCTAATTTATGTCATGTACTAACAAACCATATCTCGTTTTTTTACCAGAAAAAATAAAAAGTTATAGGGGTAAACCACTTTTGAGATACACCCGGTATATTATTGATCGTGGCCCTAGAAAATAATACCTTCTCTATAAATAAATAATATCAGAGAGAAAATTCAATCGCAGTTTACTATAAAATGCTTCAATAGACCACAAAATTACATTCGCAACAATATTGCAAATATCAACTCCTAAAAATTCTCTCGCAAATATAAATCACGATCTCAGTTTACAAAATCACTATCGCAGCAAAATCGCAACTAAATCGCAAATCTCCACAAAATCGCAAGTCGCAATCGCAGTTACCTATGAGAGCTAATCGCAGGTTGCAATTGGGTGGCTTCAATAACCGGGCAGCTCCACTTTGTTACGAAAATGAGATATTTACTGAATTGTCATTTAAAAAATAGTCCGATCGTTCTTTACAACTATCAGGTATCTTCATTCAACGATACATAAATGACAAAATTATTTGGAGCTGCCTTGCTTTCGGAGCAGAGCAGCTCTTCGAGCTCCCTACTTTGGCTAGCAGAATTTGTTAAAATGGAGCTGCCTGGTTATTGCAGTCATCCCTTCAATTGCGATTTTAAAATCGCTGCGATTGAATCGCAGTTTGCGATTTCTTGCTCATCTCTAGTTATGATCCACCTGTGTTTCAAAAACGCTTAGAAAAAATCCCGCCTTTCCATTACCACCATCACTTTAATAGATCTCACCTTTGCAGGATTCCCGCCGCCGCCCAACAGCGCCGGACCGCCCTACAACGGCCCCGGCCCGGGCGGTCCCTTCGGCTCGCCATCGGCGGGCGGCCCGCCGCCCTTCGGCCGTCCCGGCTCCTCGGGGCCGCCGTTCGTGGGGCCGGGCGGCAACCCGCACTTCCACAACTTCGGACCGGGGCCGGGCGGCTTCGGCATGCCGCCCGGGTCGCCCTTCGGCCCCGGACCGGGCCACCCCATATCGGGACCGATGGAACCGGGCCACGGACTCATGGGACGAGGGATGGGTGGGCCCATGCCAGTCGAACAAGGGTGAGTGATTTTTTTTTCTTTATTTTCTACATTTATGGACTAAGTATTATATTATTTCTAAAAAATATGAATTATTGTGGAAGCTATAAAACTACGACAAAAATATAAAGATTTAAAAAAAAATACAATGTATTGTAGATAAAAATACACTTATACTACATGGTATATTTTATATTATGTGCTATATTATATTATTATTACTAGCGTGTAACCCGCGACTTCGTTCGCGTCGAATTAATCATTTGTAATGGTGATGATAAAGCAAAGCAAGGATTTCCATTAACATACAAACTGGATAAAATTTTCTCACATTTATGTCAGCATGAGAAAAAACAATCGAGAAACCTTTCCTTATCGAACCTCTACACCCCACAGTCAGTCCGTTTGCCAAAAATCAGCTTTAAACGTCAAGCAGTTTAAGCAGAATCGTGATTACTCAATGGTCATATTGTATGAAACACCCTGTCTAAATTTTTAAAAAATCTTAAAATATGTAAAACAACAAGATAAAATATACCTACGTGTTTAAGAGTTTTTCCGAAAAACTCACCGGTTTTTAAATAAAAAATATTCTTATATTTGAGGGGTGGTTTCACCCCCTTAGAATTCGAGTTTCGAAAAATCCCTTCTTATCGAACCCTAAAGGCAATCCGTTTTCCAAAAATCAGCTTTATACGTCAAGCGCTTTAAGCAGGATCGTGATTAATCAATGACTAGATTTTTCGAAACACTCTGTATACATTTTTAAAAAATCTTAAAATATGTAAAAAAACAAAATATAATATACGTTTTTCCCGAGGTTTTTCCGGAAACTTGACCGTTTTTTAAATAAAAAATATTGTCATATTTGAGGGGTGCGGGTGGTTTCACCCCCTTGGAACTGGAATTTCGAAAAATCTCTTCTTACCGAACCTGTACACCTTAGAATCAACATGTATGCCAAAATTGAGCTTCTTGCGTTGAGTGGTTTGAGCAGGATGGTGATTAATCATTGAGTTAGTCACTTATGGATTTTATACACCTATAGATATACCTATAGATATTGTACATACCTATATTAACGTAATATCTATAATTATTTAAATAACAAATAATAATATAAGTATAAATATACAGTGTCGCTGATAGGTATGGGAACGGTCGATTATTAGGTAAAATATACAAGGTACCGCAAAAAGTTAAACACAAAATTTATATGGTTTTTAAATGTCTAATAGCTAGTAGTAAATTATAAGTTATATATAATTTTTTTTTAAATGCAACCCCTTGTATATTATTGCATATATCAATTCTTCTTTCCAAATACCTGGGTGCTACTATCAACAACGAGGGTTTGGGCAAAGAAGAAATACAAACCCGAATTCAGAAGAGCAAACAAGTTATTGGATGTCTTAACAGCCTCTGGTGGGACCGAAACTTATCTGCAACAACTAAAAAGAGACTTGGAAGAACATTGGTGGAGTCAGTTCTTTGCTATGGTTCAGAGCTATGGACTCTGAGTGCAGACGCGAAGCGCAAAATCCAAGTTGTTGAAATGGACTACCTTAGAAGAAGTGCAGGTATATCTAGGATGGAAAAAAAAGACAAACATCGAGGTCAGGCGTATCATGAATGCATCGGAGGAGACAGTACTGGATCGAATCGAAAAATCCAGCTTAAAATGATTTGGACATGTTCTGCGTATGCCGGAGAACAGGTGGCCAAAAAGAGTTTTTCAATGGGCTCCCCAGGGCAGAAGAAAGAGAGGTAGACCTAGAAAATCCTGGAACGGAACGGTTACGGAAGCAATGGAAGCTCGTAACCTAGATGCTGATGACGCTCTAAATCGAGATGTGTGGCGTAGGGTAACGGGAAGGCAGCAATAGGCTGTAGTTGGAAATGAGTATTAAATACTTAAACCAAATCCCGTTTATATATATATAAATCAATTCTTCTTTCAATTTTAAACAATAATCGTAGTACACATAATGTATCTAAATCCAACCATTTCTGAATTATGAAGTTTTGATTATAAAATGTTAAACGAAAATTTTGTAATTTCCAGATTTGTTATAACCCGAGTTATAATCTCATATTATACATCTAAAAATGTTAACTTGAAAACTAATGTCAAATATTAAGTATCACAGTTTCCGCAGAATGACATCGTTAAATGAAACCGAACACATCCAAATTAATTAAATCGAATTTAATAAAACTTAATAACTCGGAAACGATTGGTTTGAGGTACATTTTGTGTATCTTGATTTTTGCTTAGAATTGAAGGAAGAATTGAAATATGCAATAATATACAGGGGATTCTATTTAAAAAATAAACTTTGATGTGCGACGATTTTATGACCGACCCTATATACTTAAATTTATTACTCGCTAATAGATATTTAAAAACCCTATAACTTTTATATTTAACTTTTTCCGGTACCCAGTATATTTTACCTAATAATTGACCGTTCCAATACATATCAGCACCATTTAAATATACCAAATATATAGTATGCTCCCCCCCCCCATTAATATAAACTTACACGAATTTTGTAAGTAAAAATATTAAAATAGAATCACTATACTTTACTTATGTCCGCGGATTTTACAAGAGGAAAAACTTTTTTATTATCGACATTTTGAGAAAAATGCATTCTTCATAAAAATTTTTGCTTGTTCTGAAATGGTTAATTCCGTTTATTCTTTTCCAAATTTCCATACCGTTTTAGAGAAAATTAGAAATAACATGAAAATATGGTTGAAAGTCTTAAAAATAAAGAGGCGTTTCTATGGTAGTGTAATTTGGATTTCATTCTTTGATAGATGGTTATTATTAAATTTGATTAACGTCATTTTTTTTGCTGTTGTTAAACTTGTTCCAACCCAAGCCAACCTATTTTTCTATGGTGTTGTTAAAGTATCACATATTTTCCGATAACTACTATCACACTTTCCGTAGCATTGAACTAAATAAATGATGTGCTTCTATAACATTTTAAAACAGCAAAAATATGACAACAATCTATCAAAGAATGAAATCGAAATTATATTACCATAGAAACTCCTCTTTATTTTAGAACTTTAGAAAAATTCTTCCCTAAAAATTTTCTCTAAAACGGTATGAAAAAAAGCAAAAATTTTTATAAAGAATGCGTTTTTCTCAAAATGTCAATAAAAAAGTTTTTCCTCTTGTAAAGACAACCCGGTGACATACTGTACATTAATAAATAATATTTTTTTCTAATTTTGTAAAATATTTTAGCCACACAAAATAATATTTTTTCTAAATATGTTAGCCAAATGGTCTAAATTAACATAAATACTTTTTAATCCTGACTGAAAAAAAATATTATCATTATTATTTGCCTTTAATGTTGTGTTTGCTATCGCAAATATATTTTTGTAGGTATGTGCATGTATTGTGGTCGGTTTATTTTATCATCTTTTAGTAACTACATAACTATAATTTACATATCTAGTAAAATATATAAAAGTTCTTTATTTTCCTTTTCTTTCGGGCTTAGCGCAGCCAAGAGAAAACTGAAACATAAAATTAAATTTTACAATTATGCACGAGTTTATATGCGGCAACGTTGCAATCAGCACGATAATCTCGTTCCGACCACGTGGAGTGGTGCGCACGCAGTTGTCGGTTTTTGTCGGGACCGAGGGTCATTCTCCGGAATAGATGCATCCGAAAAGTCTTATTTTTTGTTTATTTTTTTTATATTGAACTGGCATATAATTACTTATAACTTTGAGGTATTTTTGTATTATTTTATCGACGTTTTTTGCGTTCCTATGTTACAAGGTGTCCCAGGCGGAGAGCGTGCATTAAAAGTTTCTAGAGAAGTACAATATCTAGATCGGCGATTTTTTGCACATCATTATTTTACAACGAGATCTATCGATTAAAAATATTTTCAATATGGCGGCACTTCCGGAAATACCGGAACTTGACGGCAACTTTCTTATTTTAAATGGGTGCCCCCATTTTTTATTACATATTTAAACTCTCTGATAAACACTTTATAATCTAACATTAACCGTTTTTGAGAAAAATAAAAACACTAAATCACCACAATACACCAAAACACTTTTACTTTTACACTGGACGCGCGTTTCGCTAACCATGTTAGCATCATCAGCAGATGATTATAAACTAAAAAGAGTTTATAATCATCTGCTGATTGGACTGCGTCCAGTGTAAAAGTAAAAGTGTTTTGGTGTATTGTGGTGATTTAGTGTTTTTATTTTGCTGTGTAACACCAAATGTTCCAACCCTCAACTGTAATCGGTTTTGAGACAAAAATATTTAAAATTTTTGACGAAAGAAACTGGCCTGTCAAAGATATGTGTATAGTTTAAACGTCAAATTTAGTGATTACCACAGCCACTATCCCATAAAGAGAAGACATGTGGCTATCTATTTCAAAAATTAAATTATTCGAACTTCATATAATAATGGCCGCACTGGGGCACCTATTTAAAATGAGAAAGTTGTTGTCAACTAACGGTATTTCCGAAAGTGCTGCCATATTGAAAATATTTGTAATCGATAGATCTCGTTGCAAAACAATGATGTGCAAAAAATCGCCGATCTAGATATTGTAGTTCTCTAGAAACTTCTAATGCACGCTCTCAGCCTGGGACACCCTGTATATTACTTAAAAATTAACAATTGAAGTTATTTTATACCAAAAAAAACATTGATATTGATATTACCATACAGTGATGTTTTAGGTAATGTTTTTATTTGATGTATCTGATAAGCAAAAGCTGGAAATCAGTAAATGTTCACAATTACTATACACAGTTTAAATGGGGCGAATAGAGTGCTCCACTAGCTTTATTCGTAGATGCCTTACTGGTCGCTTAGCTACTTACTTACCATTTCCGAGAGGAAACATCTTATTTTTATTTAGACTTTTATTTTTTTCTGCTGGTATAGTTTAATGTGGCGACCAAACGCCAAAATTTTCGAAGCGACTTCCACGTTTAATTTCAACGTTAACACC